CACACAACAACATCCCTTAGGTTTTGTGTGGGTACACAACAACAAGAATTTGTTTTGTGTAGCCACACAACAACATCCCCTAGGTTTTGTGTGGGAACCCAACAAATCCTGGAACTTTTGTGTTGGTGGCCAACAACATGGCCACAGTTTGTGTTGGGCACGACCAGCAACCAACAAAAATCCAAACAGTTTGTGTCTCCGAGCGTCGTGGTCTCACACAAAAGTTGTACTTAGAGTATTTTGCTATGCTGATTTTTTAACCCAGGGTGACCCCCTAAATTACCATGCCGCAGGCAAATTTTTTGATTTTTTCGACCTTTTGCTTGGAAACCAAGCATCGTGTGAGCAACACCTCGCTCAGAAAAAACCTCACTGGGTCAAGTGTTTGGTAAGTGTTTCCAGGCAATGGCTGGAAACACAAAACCCATTGGTAAAGATGAATTTGGTGAAAATAGGTCCAGCTCCCCTGAAAAAAACCGACCCCCTGTCCAAGGTTACTCCCCTCGTGTCTTCGGCCAGTGGCTGCGAACACATCCTGGCCACTGTTTTCCGGCGAGCTTTTCCTGACCCCAGCGCTTGTCTCACAGCTTAGCTGTGGGGCGCTCCAGGCATGGCAAACACTCTGCGTTTAAGCCAACTTGTTTCAGGACACCCTGCTGTCAAAGGCTCGGGCTGTCCGGCGTGACAGTCTTCCAAAAAATAGTGCTTGACATTGACAAAAACCGACTGCTTTACAAATTCAAAGCAATGAAGCGACACTAGCCAGGCTCAACTCTCAGAAATGTCGAGCTCATTCATATGTCACAGCATCAAACGCTTCCTGAACTACAGACAGGGCATCGGAGAAGTCCATGCCGGCTGCCCAAAGCTTTGCAGCGGCTTTGTAGATGTGAACCTGTCTGCGTGAAGTTCGGTACCTATCCAAATTGACGCTTTTGAGCTTGTCCACGGCCAGCTTCATCTCATTGGGAACCTGAGGAGCAACCAAAACCCTTGAACACGTTGAGGGTTTTGGTCCTCGTAACAGCCCCTTTTTGTGGTATGCAGGGATTTGGGAATCGGGGTTTTGGTGCTTGCGCAGTTCACAAAACTTTGCGGCGCAAACAAACTGAACTAAGCAGCCGGTTCCAAGTTCACACCGCCCCGCAGCTCCGACCCACTAACCCCATGCCCTACAGAAGGGCCAGGCGCCAATGACATCCTGCCAAGGGTTTGGTCGCTGAAAGTTCGCTCGGTAGAAACAACAACCAACAAGAAGAAGAATAAGAATAACAGCAACAACAGCAACAGCAACAGTAACAGCAACCTTGACACCGCGGCTGACCCAGGGCTAGCGTCCTGTCTATACTAAGCAGCGGCACAGGATCCATTGCGCCTTTGGCCATCGCGACCAAGCAATCGGCAGCGCGATTCATGCAATAGGGTTCTTCTCCTTTGTGGTTTGGACATATCGGAGCTGAGAAAAATCATGGTGGCTGAGGAAAATAATGGTGGGTTCCTAACTTCAAAAAAAGGAGATCCCACTTGAAGGATATAAGGCAAAATGTATGGAAAAAAACTTCCTTTGGACCATGTCCAGGGTCGCATCAGGGCTGCATATTTCAGCCAGTGCTCCTTTTCCTTCTCCTCAACCGGCTTCTCTTCCAAGCAAACTGGCAAGGTTTAAGAAAGGCCGCGTCGCCGAAGCCCTACTTGAAAATTACAGTCATGCCCAAATTTCACCACACGCACGCTACCCCTCAAATTTCAAGTCTTCAGAGCCTTCCGGTAGTGGGCAAGACACTGCTGCTCGATGAGCGACCGCGTACGGTAGGTACAGAAGCACATGGCCGCTGAACGTCGGATCGGCCATGTGTTGCTTGGTCCTGGCAAGGAAACCCGAGGAAATTGCTCGGCGAGACTTGGTGGTGACATTGAAGTCAGAAACCCCATGGCCAAATCACTATTAACTCAAATCTGTGCAAAATATAGAATTGATTGGAGCTCCTTAGGATGACATCGCTCGGATGAAGTTCAAATCCAAGGCCACGCTTTCTCCAGAACGCGCAATCAATCTTGTCCTTGGGGATGCCTGACGGTGAGCACAGATGTCAGATCTCAAGAGCAACGGGCGCCTAGTAGTTTGTAGCCGACTTCGAGCAAAACCAAAAGAGTGAGGTTGACAGGGTAGAGAAGAGGAGAGATGATAGAAGGCTCGCCTTTATGTCCTTCGACTTTCAACCTTTCTGGAGAAACAAAACCATAGACATAATGCAGAAGCAAGGCACCAGCATCTGCTACACGATCAAAAGCAAACACATGCGGGGCCCCTGGGCCACTGATGCCACCCAGGTGAGCTCCCTGGAAGGCTATATGAAGATACGTCCGCCTTGAATAGAACGAAGGTGCAGCAAAAAGGCGTCGAACAGGGATCTCGCGAGGCACACTTAAAAACACATCTCCCCAACAGAAATCTTTCTGGAACGCGCTGAGGCTCCAATTCCTTACCCGGTGGACTTGCACAGCACGCTTGAGCGGTTCATATGGGCGCGAAGAATCCATGAACTTCTGCAAGGACCGAATGAACTGTAAAGGGGTGTGTAATTCCAGTTCTCGTTCCAAGTGGTAGGTGAGGGCTCCAAACCAGGCGTCGATGTCTTCGTGCGAGTGGCCTGTGACAAGCGATCGCAGCTCGGCTCGGTGTAGCCGGTGCAAGCTTGTCCACATGGCCAATTGACGGGTGGTCGTGTTATTTTTTACTTCTCTCACCGTATTGTCGCATGGCAGGACCAGTTCCAGACGCCGGGAATCCAGGCCACGCTCCCGTATCAACACATCCAGGATGTGTGTGTACACTTCTGTGCAGTAGTTGGAATCTTTGGCTGTCTCTGGTCCACTCTGGAACAAGAACGCTGCTTCACCATGCGCCAGAGCTCCATATGTGTCAAACGTGGGACGCATGGTGAAGCCAGCGAAGTCCTTGCTCGAAGTCAGGGTCTGTGGCAGCCTGAACTTGCTCCGGTCAATGCCATCCAGAATTATGCACAAGGTCCGGGCCCCGTCAAAATTTGAAGGCATTCGGCTTCTTGCTCGGCAAGACCAGTATTCCGCGCGATCGCGGAACTGGGAACGAACATGGTTGGCAAATTCGCTGACTTGGTGGGCCCTCGCAAGCCTATTGGCAGCTAGCTTCCTAATTATCAGCTTGTGACGCTGACAGATCCCACATTTTCGGTGCTGGGATTTGCTCCGTATGGCCAATCGGTCTTTGAAGCATTGGAGCCAAACCTAAAGACTGGGAAACAACCAGAAAAATGAAACTGTCCACTGCCACCCTTTGACCCTCTTTATGGGCCGACAACACCAACCAATTTGTTGAACAAGGTGCAAGGGACCGTGTTGAAGAGCTTGAGCGACACTTTTGTATCCGGGTGCTTCTCCCGGAATAGCATCAAATAATCGGTAAACGTGCCCGGTGGCAGATGACGAAGCCGCTTGGAGCCAGGTTGCTGATGGGACTCGCTTTTCACCTTGAACTGCAGGCTGGACAACTTCGGACGCCTGCCCCTGTGGCGGCGAAAGTTCATGCACCGCGGGCCAGAGCTAGCTCCTCCAGTGGCTTCAGGCATTGGCTCCGACATCGATTGATAGAGCTCCTCAAGGAATTCACATATCAGGGCACGACCTCCGCTTCTTTTGCCCTGATAGGCTCCTTTTTGGGCCAAAGATCGTCCATCAGTTGGGACAGGCTGACCTGTCACAGCACAGTTCCGGAGGCGATAAAACCTCTGGCTTCCAAGCGTCATGAGCTTTCGGAAGGCCAACTGGCACACTGGCACACCCATCAAGGTTTGACGCTTGCGAATGTGGGCTGGGCTCGCCCGAAGAATGTCCACAACCTGGTATATTATGCATAGCGCGAAGAAACCACACCCTCATCAAACACAAAAGGATAAAAGGTAACTTGGAACGTCCCCAGCCAAAGGTTCTACACTCGAGCCCCCAAATCTACTATTCAAATATATATATATATATATTTATTAATAAGTTGTCTTGTCCAGTCAAGAAACCTTCTGATCAACATCATCCTTGTGAAGTTTCTGCAGGTTCAACCGCAACTCCAACAAATTCCGAAGAAGATCGGGCCTCTCTCGGAAAGCAGCGAAGCAACTCTTGCCACCACCCTTCTTCTTGCACGGGCAGTTCTGGGCTACGATCTTGGACAGCGAGGAGTGTATCTGGCCGGGGGTCAACCTTGCATCTTGGATTGTACCCGGCCCCCCCTTTCCGCTTCAAAGTTGGAGCTGGCGCTGGTTGAGGAGGTGGAGGTGGTGTGTGATGGACACCCTCACCGTCATCATCGCTCAAAGCAGCGATATCAGGCAACGGCATGCGCAACGAACATCCGAGTGCATGAAAGTAAACTATATATTCCTCTGTCGTCCATTTGGGTACAGTAAACATAACAAACATTTGGCAGTTGTTGGAGTTGGCTGCGGCTCATATGTAAAGAGCTGCAGCTGTTGATGGGGTGATACGCGGTGTCCTTATCATGGCTCTCAATGCAGCAGTAACTGTATACCACTCTGTATGCCTGTTCAGCAAAACGCCAAGGAAAACTGCCATAAATCAAGTAGCATTCACCTGGTCTTTTGGCGAGAAATCTGCTCCAAATAACTGATTTGGTTAACCTCAGTGAGCGCAATTAGTTACTAGCTAGTTAGACAAATTGAAGCAGCAACATTTACGCACAGCACGGCACGCCATCTGTGCGAAAAAGCTGTTCAAGCTCTAATTCAGCAATCTACTGTACAACAGCCTCACATCCCATCAGCGATGGGAATTGAGCCTTCGGATCTTCGTCTGGGTTGAGGTTCGGGGCAGGCTCGTGGAAGGTGTCGTAGCGTCGTCAACATCTCCTCTCAAAACCCCAGTTAACAGCGGACGGGAAATTTCTTAGTCAACTTAGAGCTGCACTTGGCGCCCAATGTGACCCAACACCTTCTTCTGGTTGTTTTCAATAAATAGACTAGACTACCAATGATGAGTTGGCTTTGCAGGCCGGCATGATGAAGGAAAAATAAGATGTTTGATGTTGTGAGAACTAAGAGTGATTGGCTACACCCTATCAGTGGCAACGGGCACCCGGCCTAATGTCAAGGAACTGAAACTCCTTCTCAAGATAGATCGAGCGGCGGCAGCTCCTACGCCAGCAGTCTGGAAGAAAAGCACATATCATACTGTATTATATGTGGAAGTAACTACTGTACATAAATATAAGTTTACATTTTTTAAATATATATTATATGACTCAAAGAGTTGTACAGAAACCCTGTGACAAAAACAAAAGTCCACGGGTATACTGAAGTATCCGAACTGCATCACATGATCACACGGCAATGTCCTTCTCTGGAAGCTGAAAGTGTTGACACTGCGGAAGGTACGGCCGCTGTGGTCTCCAAGAGCTCACTTGCCTCCGCTTTTGAAAGTATTCGTGCGCACACTGGTATTATTCTCAACAAACCCACAAACCCCTTCAACCCATTCGCTTCAATAAACAACATCTTTTGAGCCCTCAACCTGCATGGACTCGGAGGTGGTGACTTGGGATCCGTCTGTCTCAGGGATCACAATGATGTCAGGATCAGGATCGGTGTCAACGTGGCCGGCCTGGAGGAAGGGAGTGAGTCAGTGAAGATTGTTGGTGGGAAAGCGTTCGGCTTCAAGAAAAATGTGCCCTGCCTCATCAGGGGTGTCTTCCCAAACAAATCCAGAGTGGCCCGGCATGTCCAAAGGGTTGGCGTTGGACAGCTCGCCAGTCATGTACACAGACGCCCACCAATTGCAACGGGGGACCACCGCACAGGCACGCACTACCCGGTCACCCATCATCTTCTTACATTCAACTTGACAACAATGATCCAAAAGGCCTGCAGTGGACAAGAGTTCGGAGGTAGCCAACGGCCCTCTGCAAACGCACAATCCCAATGGATGGAATGTAAGAATGCTACAGCGGGCAACAAAACCATGAACTCAGACCTGCAGGAAAAAACATGTCGGCATGACACGCGGAAAAGCTGGGCGGCTACAGCACCCCAACTACGCCAGCGCCAGATCTGACCGCACTTCCGAAGATATTGCGCGACCGAAAAGGAACACTGAGGACCAACATCTTGGCATTTAACTACTTGTATGGAAACTTTGGCCATTCAACACAGAAC